CTAGACTTCCATCACTGTTAAAACTAATGCTTGTGATTTTTATTTGGTTAACTACACTTTGTGACAACAGTTTGGTGTTTTCACCTTCAAATATCTAAAAGGAGAAGTAAAAAATCATTTCTAATAAGTCTCAGAATAATAGTAACAAAATACAAAGGTTTTAGAGATTTCTTGTCACTTCACACAACATCAGGAAGCAAACCACATTCTTTAACTTTAAAAAATTAGCTGGATTTTACCCATTGCAAGCATCAGGAAAGGAAGAATCTCACTGCTTGGTAAAGCATAGTAAACGGACCAAAAAATAGTACAACTGCTTACAACCACACATAACAATACTGGGTGACTTATGTAAGATCTATATTGGACCTGTGTAATATCATGACCTATGTCAAGGAACCTTAAAACCAAAACAGAGGAATGAAAGAATGGCAGAATGATCAAAATGGTGGAAATTTACCCCAAATCATAAAAGAGAGAATGGCATGAAATCACTCCAAATCCTAAGGGCGGAACTATAAATATTATACACACCCTGCCAAAGGATAAAAACAGCCAAATAATTTCCTTTGGTACAATGTCATAGCAGACTTCTGGTCATGTACATAAGTGAGTGAGATCTAAAAAATATAGGGAAAAGGGGGTGCAATCTAAAAAAAAAGCTTACCAAACCTTTTCCCCCCCATGAGTTTACCTTCAGTGTAAATTAAACCAATCCACAAAAAGTTATCTTTAGTTAGTTTGCTTAAAATGTGTATTGTAACACAGAAGATCTGCATCTAGAGGAATGCACTTGTTTCTCATTTACAGCCATAACCACAGTAAAAGAAAAATTTAATTGAGCCTTTTTAACTAAATTGTTTACATCTGCATGCTTTTCATGTGTATTTTGACTGCATATTGGTTAGCTGTCTTTATCCTTTCATACATGTCCAATACACCCAAACTGTTGACCGTCTACGGTCCTTAACGAATCGTCACATTGGATGTCAAATCATGCATTAACATACCACAAGTCGAGAGGCATAAGCAATATGTGAAATTACCATGGTATGCCAGAAGTTGAATCGTGCATTAACATACCAGATGTTGAGGGGTGCGCACGTGAGCAATGAGTGAAAATGAGTCACATGGTACAAGAACATAACAACATGAACCTTCCACATTCTTAAAGCATGAAACAACCGGAAGTCTATCATCAGAATATTATAAACTGTACAGTGTAGCAAATGTTGATGATTTGACATGATTCAACTTGAATCAAACAACTCGTCACAGCAAATGACGATCCATCATACCAGATGTCAGTTTGCAGTGTCTTGCAAATCAACATCCAGTATGACAGGTCATCATTTATTGTGATGAGTCCTTCGATTCGAGTTGAATCATGTCGATTCGACAACATTTACAACCCCCCTTCACAGACACTTGCAGAATATTTTTTAAGTGTCTTGCAAATTGACATCCAGTATGACGGGTCGTCATTTGTTGTGACGAGTTGTTCAATTCAAGTCAATTTGTGTCAATTCAACAACATTTTCAACCCCCTGTCACAGACACTTGTGGAATATTTTCTGAGTCTCTTTCAAATTGACTTCCAGTATGCCTTTTCATGTCATAAGAGATGGTTTCTCAGACCTCCAGTATACAACATCACTTAGCAAATCGACTTCCAGTTTGACAATTTGTCAACTTCCTTTGACAATTTGCAGCAGTTTGGGTGTATTGGACAACCCTCTATCCTTTAGCAGGATGTGTGCACTATTTACAGTTCTGTCTTTTAGGATTTGTTTCAACTTTTCACCTTTCTACCATTCTGTCATTCCACCATTCCAACTTTTAGAAGTATACCATTCTTTTTTGGTAACCAGCCACTACTTACCATCAGCCTGTTGGATGTGTCTGTAATGGCAATAGTCAGGGAATCCCCTCTAAACATCACATCAAACACCATTCTGAGTTTCATACACTCTTGAACATTGGTGTTGTCAACTTTCCAGATCTACAGTTGAGAGAAAAATCAAAATTTAGGATGATTAAGAATTCACACTAACCTTTAAAAATACTGCATTTTTGAGCTTCGTAGTGCTTTACCTTGACAGTTTCATCATCAGAGGATGAAACCAACTTGCTGGCATCCTGTGACAGGGCAACACAGTGAACCCAGCCTGAGTGACCTCGGTACACACCTATGCTTCCTTCATTGACTGTATTCCACAGCTGCAAAGAGTACAAATAACATTAATCTTTTGGTTAACATACCTGTGATAGGTGACAGAGATTTCACAGACAAAATATCTCATAATTGAGATGTGATTGTTACAATAATCATGTTTATAATTCCAAACAAGTCAAACATAATCCTTTAACTCCCAAGATCTGATTGTTAATTCTCCTCTAAAGCTGCTACACATTTCCTTCTAAATTAGTCGTGAGAATTTAGCATTAGATCAAGATAACAACTTTTATCTGATAAGTTTGAGTATTCTCATAACCTATTTGCTGAATAATGCTTGGATATCATAGGGAGAAGTTACATGTTAATCACTTCTGGGAGTCGAAAGGTTAAGTGTGTGTAGTTGTGTTAAAATATGGTTTATAAAGGATTTTAAGAATTCCATCAAAGTTTCAAAAAAAATTTTAAGAGGCTCATGAAATTGTAGGACGTGTTCATAAATGAATATGCAAGATTGAAAGCCTACCTGTACCGTTGTGTCTGACAGACCCACCGCTAAAATACTATCATCCTGTGAATATGCCAGTGAAAGAGGGGTGGAAGATGCATAAAGGGTCTTTAATTCTTCACCAGTTTTCGAGTCCCAAATCTAGCAAAGAAATAATTTTGTTAATCCCAGTGAGTAGATTTAAAATCTTGCTTGCCTTTTCAAAGGGAACTCTACAATTTTGATATAAAAAGTAACCCTGGAACTGTAGGAATTTGGTCAACATAAAAATGGAAATGCAAAGGAAAAAAAGATGTTTAATAGTTTCCTTTCCATAATTCAAGTTTGAGTTCCCAAAGAATATTGGAAAAATGAAAACTATGGTTCAAAAATCAAAATCTTATTTGTAACAAGTTGGAGAGCTGAAGACATATTGAAATAATTTTTCATTTTCTGGTTTCAAATCATGAGAACCTCACAAAAGCCACTAAAATCTGACATGAAAAATTATTTTTCTTGTGTTCTAACCTTAGCAACAGTATCTGAAACACCAACTATACTGTGTGAAGTCGGTTTGAAACAGCAAAATGTCACAGCACTAGTTGTTCCTCCCTCAAGGGTAAACAACTCTTGTCCTGATGTTGAATCCCAGACCTGATAAGGTAAAAAAAAATACACAACTCCAATTTATCACATATGTTACAAATGATTGAAAACGAATGTGGTACATTTGTTGCTACCTTACAGAGCACCCTTAGTAACAGCCATCATCATGAAATCTTCACATAGAACTTTATATTTATACTCTCTAAAGCTGTCAGAGCTCTGATGAGGGGCTGACCCTCAAAACATCTGAAACTCCCCACAGCCACCAATTTAAAAATTACAAAACACATCGTCTTGTAAATCTGAACATGGTTGACTATGTTGTAAACCATTCTCAGAAATCCTCACCACTGATTTGATTTATGGTAAGTTTTCCCTAAAATGTACAACCTCCTCTGCCCTGAGTTTCTACTGATTGTTAAAGGGTTAAAAAGGTAAGTATTTGGGGTTAATATCATTTTGTGTCACAATACCTTCACAAGAGTGTCATCAGAACAAGACACAATTTGTGAACCATCAGGAGAATAACAACAACAGCGGACAATATCTGCATGACCTGTGAAATTCACATATTCTGTGCCATCTTCACAACTCCACACCTGAAATTTCCATGCAATAAAATATTTACCCATTCAAATAATGATCAAAAGTTGAAGGTGGAGTCCTACACACTGACTTGAATATCAACCAGTTGAGTTATTTAACACTTTAACTCCCAAGATCTGATTGTAAATTCTCCCCTCTAGCTGCTACATGTCTCCTTGTAAATGAGTTATGAGAATTAATTTAGTGTTAGATCAAGATGATAACTTCTACCTGATAAGTTGGAGGTTTCTCAATACCTGTTTGCAGGATGATGTATGAACATTATAAGGAGAAGTTACAAGTTCATCACTTCTGGGAGTTACAGGGTTAAAAGAATAAGTCTAAGTAGGTGCAGTTTTAAATTCAGTAACAAAAGTGATCCTGGATTGCTTTGGTTTTGCTTTACTTGCTCTGTGATGGGGTCCAGATGCAAAATCATAGCCAATCTCAATCAATCAATAAATCATTACTTTTTATTTATGTTCTGGAAATTATAAAACAAGTCAAATTTGTTAATTAACATATCACAGCCTAAATTTCATTTATAAATTTTGATTTATTAACTTATCAACTCAAAGAGTTGTAAAACAAGCTTCCATGTACTGATGTGTTACTTAGTTTTTTAATTATTAGTTACCCTTTTATTTTCAAATTGATATTAATATTATATTGTATTTATTGGTTAAAACATAGCCCGCCTATATTCAGTCTAGACTACCTGTGGGTCTATGAAAATATTTAAATTATTAATAATCGTTCTTTAAATGAAGTGTATAGTTTGCACTAAGTGTGTATAAGTGAATTCATTAAATAAACTTATCAGGCCAGCTATCTTAACAAAGTTTAGCCACTTTTTGACAAAACCACACTCTAAGCCATCTTAAAATTAGCCAAACCTTTTATTCAATCATTTACTTTTGTAAACAGTGTCAAGAGGGCCAGAAGTTTATAATGGAAGGACATTTATTTAATTAAATTAGTATAGGTAATAACATGATTTTGAGAGCAATTCGGTGTCAGCACCTTAGGAATTGTATAAAAATCAGTATAAAGAATATGCCTACTGATGTTAGAGTGTAGGGTTTAAAGTAGTACCAGTACCTTGACAGTCTTGTCAGCAGAGCAGGAAACAACTTTCTTGTCATCTGGTGAAAACATGCACTTGAATACTTCTTGGTTGTGGCCACTGAAAGTCAGTAGTTCTTTTCCGCTACTGCTGTCCCAAATCTAAAGAGGAATTGATAGACTGCTCTCTTTTCTGCACATGATTGAGTTACATATCACTTTCACAAAAGAGGTCCCATTCTAATTACTAAATCCTCATTCATTGAATACTAGTGAGAGTAGCAAATATGTTCCACATTGAAAAGTCACATCTCTTTAATCTGTTATGCACAATAACCTTTCAACATTGGAATCAGAGTATTTCTTCACAAAGGGCCCAAACAAAAAATACAAATTCAAGATACTTTCAGTCAATAACTTAGCCATAGTAATGGACAAACCTTGACTCTGTGATCAGCAGAACATGAAACAATTCTGACATCATTAGTGGAGAATGCACAGCAGTATACCACATCAGTATGGCCCATCATGGACAGCAGCTCTTTGCCTGATTGACTCTCCCAAACCTAAAAGGAATTCAAAGTGCTATCCTTACTGACAATCTTTTGAAGCTTGTTTGATCTACTGAACTGGAAACATCTCCTTCTTCAACTAATTAGGGAGCAAAAGACTTCACATTTCTTCAAAAATGTGCAATTACTGGATGCTAATAAGCACATTGAGTTACTAGCTTCAGTTGAAACCAAAAATCTCATTTAGTGTCAGTAATAAATTGTATGCTACAAGGTCATTCAAAGTGCAATACCTTTACAGTTTTGTCAGCACCACAAGACACCACTTTGCTCGCATCCTGTGAAAAACTGCAACAGTACACTGCTCCTTGGTGAATTTTCACTGTTATGAGAAGTGTATCCTGAGACTCCTCTGCACGGTTACTATGGAAACAGTTGATTAAGTTATTTCAAGACTGGTTGTCAGTTCAATGAAGGCACAGAAAGAATTCCTAATAAGGCAGTCTTCCACCAGCATCTAACTGGTATTTCAGGGCATGACAGTTGTTTGAGAGTATATTTAACAATTATTTGCCAAAGGCAAAGTAAATATTTGTGAATAATCCCTGAGATGAAGCCCAGGGGATTATTCAACAATGTTCATTGAGCCTGGGGCAAATAATTATGTTAGTATGATTGCTCAGCTCCTTTCAAATTCTGTTGTAAATTCTGTAAATAAAGAAAGCATTGAGCACATTTTGTTGCGATTGCAGTAATTAATTGTATCAACATGAGCAAGGAGTTCTAGCAGGTTCATTTCATTCAATCAGCAAAAACCTCTTTCTTGTAAGTAGAAGAGTTTTATTAAGTCATTACAAATTAAACTCGTCATAAATTTTATTGCTGGTGTGTTGATTATATCAACAAATTGATAATTTACTTAGCCCATTGTTATGGAACAGGACAAGCATATCTCACCTCCAATCAAGATAAAACTTGCCATCCCCTCCCAGCTGAATGGCTTTGTCATATGCCTGTTTATAGACTTCAGAGTCTCTGGATTCACTAAGACCCATCTGGATTAAATCTGGAAGAGGTTTCTCCACAAAACGATGGGCATTCACACTTACAAAATGGTGGAAATCATTGATGACTTTCAGTTCCTAGAGAGAAAATTTTACATTTAAGGTTAAACGAGGGAAAAACATGCAGAGTCAACTGATAAAAACTCCTTGAACGAGCTGGACTAATTTTGTTTGATATAGAGCCATGAAATCAATTTCCACTCTTTGGTCATTTGAAACATTCTTTATGGTGCTGTGTAGTTACCTTGCTGTCTTCATGTCCTTTGACTGCTAAATAGTCATTCAGTAGATCAGCCGGTCCAGTGACATCTAGTTTAGCAGCCAGCCATTTTAGATCTGTGATAAGTTGCTGTGCCTCTTCTATCAGACCTGCTCTAAGCATGTGTCGCAAAAGATTCCGGTGAATATAGCCATCATTTTTCATCTCACTAAAGTTTCCTAAAAAGTTTAACAGAAAGAAGATAGGATCTTTTACAAAGGGCGGGGTTTGTGCTGGAGGACTTCCCCCCTAACTACCCCCCTGAAACTCCTCACTGACCTCATGAAATGTTAATCCTCTTTGGATAAGATGTTGAAATTTGCTTAGTTTTGATGTTACGACAGTCAATTGAATGCATTCTAGGGGCATTGTGTCATATGCATTATGTACCTCTGCTCTGCCAAAGATTAGCCTACCAATAGCTTACCCTTATACACCTTTCTGTATCTATCCACCAGCTTCTTGTGCAGAGCTTCCAGGTTTGTGGCCTGTTCATGAAGGAAAGTTAGCTGCAAGTTATGCACAGTGTACCATGTACCAATTGCATCTTCTGAATCCACTGTTCTTCTCGCCAAGGATTTGTTCACCAAGTCTTCCATCCAGTCTTCCACAACTTCAAACTATAAAATTATTTATTTCATTTATGAGAAAGCTTTCTGAGCTGATCTAGCTTTAATAATTAGTAACCAACCAAGCAGCCGGGGAATGAAATAATTAATTGCAAGTCAAACAGACAAACAGTAAAGCTGACTGACTTACTGACTAACTGAATAATTGAATGACTGCCTAACTGACTGACTGACTGAATAACTGACTGACTGCCTGACTGACTGCCTAACTAACTGACTGCCCACCTGACTGACTGACTGCCTGACTGACTGACTGACTGACTGCCTGACTGACTGACTGACTGCCTGACCAACTGACTGAGTAAAAAACTGAATGACTGCCTGCCTGACTGACTGACTACCTGTCTGACTGACTGACTGCCTGCCTGTCTGACTGTCTGACTGACTGACTGCCTGTCTGACTGTCTGACTGACTGACTGACTTTCTGATTGACTGACTGACTGACTGATTGACTGGCTCACTGACTGACTCACTGACTGACTCACTGACTGACTCACTGACTGACTCACTGACTGACTCACTGACTGGCTCACTGACTGACTCACTGACTGACTCACTGATTGACTGAATTATGGATTATAACAAATGGACTTGCTAACCAACTACTAGATAAACCAACTGATTATCAGATGTATCTAAAGTAAGACATGCAAAGGTGTTTCTTGTAATCAAGTTGTGGGTACCATACCTCCTCATTCCACAGTATAATGAGGACCTGGGCAGGAACTTTACAATCTTCATGAAACACAGCAAAGCTTTCATAAATGTCCCTTAGTTCATCAGGCAGGTTATTGATGCTCATGCGAATTGCTTCTGTCAAAGTTGGATATTGATACTCAAACTGTGGTTTAAGCTTACTGACATTCTTCTTTTTCAGTTGTTTGACATAATATTCCCATCTCGTAGGATGATCTCGAAGCAGAGCACCTATCATACTTATTGCTAAGGGAGAACCATTTGTAAGTTTAAAGATTTCTTTTGCCTCAGCTGGGAGGTTTTTCTTGGGCAGCTGCTTTGTCCACTCAGCCAAAATTTGAAGTGATTCATCTTCTGTAAAACCCTCACTAATGTGAACTTTAGCTTTCGATCCACCCACCATGTCTGTGATAGCTGCATCACGAGTGGTAACAATGATACGGCAACGGACATCAAAGAACTTCACATCGCAGGAATCCCAAAGGTCATCAAGAATTAGCAATGATCGAGGGTGCTGGTGCGCAAAGAGCACCCTTAACCTGTCCTTAGCTTCTTCAGTGTTTCGTGGAGGTTGTCGATTATGATCAGAATCAAGTCTGGCACAAAGATTTTGCATGTGCATGAGAAGTTTAGGTTGATCTACAGGGCCTATTCGTATCCAGTGAACACCACCTGGGAAGCACTCATCCAAGACAACAGCACTTCTAAGAGCTTCAGAGGCTAAGACAGTCTTTCCACAGCCAGCCATTCCATGCAGAATAACCCAGCCATCTCTCTCCTTTAGGGACTTTAATGCTGCATGAATTTTGTGAATATCTCTTCCCCTGTGGGCAAAAATCGCTGGCCGCTGAGGCACACCACCCTCTAGAAGGACATTTTCAACTGAACAAAAACAAAGTGAACAAAAAAAAGTGACAGAAAATTATAATAACTAAAATGTAAAGAACATTTAGTGAAAGAGTTGCACGTAGTGACCAGGAGTATTACTGCTTCCCCCCCTGGATGGGAAGTTAGTCCATCACAGATTTATCCCCCAGAATATCATCAGGCTTTCCTGATAATTTTCCAGTACCCATTTATACTCCCAGGTGGAGAGAGGCACTGACAAGGTTAGTGTCTTGTCCAAGAAAACAACACATTGACCCACCCAGGTCTTGAACCCAGACCTTTTGACCTGGAGTCAAGTGCACTGACCATAAGGCCACTGTGTCTCCCTAGTGTAGTCTTCTTAATAGTCCATTTTACAGTTGTGTGCTTGGTTGCTATGCCTTTGAACAGGAGTGAGGCTAAGGGTGACCTTGTTATGATACAAACCTTGCTGCTTATCAAATGTAAATTGCTTTGTTATTAAGTTAACTAGATACTGGTCTCTATCACAACAAGGTCACCTACAGCCTTACTCCAAATCAAACACTTGGCAACTATATACACAACTGTAAAATTGCCTAGTATTGATAAATAGATCTCTATGAAATTGAAAATGGAGGTTTGAGACAGGCAATCAGTCACAGCACTAAGAAAGAATGAATGTGTCCCTAGTCAAATTTTAAGACAATTTTCAAAGGGGTCTGGTTACCATTGTAAATCTCAAGGCACATTCTGTATCCTAATTCTGTATCCTATCCTAATTTTAAACATTTTTTGTGGTAGACACAAAAATTAATAGTTTCCAGAGCATATTTCTCCTTTAATTGATGTATAATTTTTGCTACACACCTCTCTCTGATAACTCTTTAGCTTTTGATACTTTCCTTGGAGCAGCAGCATTTTCTTGCAAATATTCCACCAAGTGAGGATAAGGTTCTTCCAATGCCTTACGGAAATGATAAAAGGCTGCATCATTTTTAGTCTCCAACAAGTCTAGCAGCTTCCCTGCCTGTCTTCTTGATGTTACTTCTGCTCTGATTAGCTCAGTATCATGAACATCAAATACCATTTTACTCTGAAGAAAGTTAAGTACATCATCAACCAAGAGATCTTCAACAATTTCCACTCGGTTGGCAATAAGGAGATTAGCATGGTCCTGAGTCATCATTTGCACTATGGAAATAAAAACAATTTCAGTTGTAAATCTTTGCAACTCAGCAAGGTGGTTGCCAACAAGAGCCTCTGAAACAAGCAGTGTTTGAGAGTATCGGCACACAGCTAAACCCCTAGGATAGGAGAATTTAGAATCCACAACAAGGGGGGCCCCTGAGTTAGTGTCTGGACTCTGGAATGAGATGTACGTTGTGTGACTTGTCACTAACTAGTATTTAAAGATGTCTAGTTAATTAGCAAAAATATCTCTTTTAAAAGGTGAGCCAAGTTGTGCCATGTTTTGACAAGCCTACAGGGCAAATCAAAAGACAAACAACAAGCAAAAATACTCAGCAAAACAACATACCAAAGCATCTTATCAGTTATTCATTATCCTCATAACTGTCACATAGTTCATATAACTGTGCAATAACGGAATATTTGTACCGGATTCGCATGTTATTTGTACTCTACTGGATGCAGCTCGAAAAAAGAGATAAAATATCAATACAATAAACATGTTCATTATCCAACTGCACAAAGAAGAGTAATAATAACGCGCGAATAGAGTACAAATATCCTGCGATACTGTACGGTTATTTGGACATTTGGTTATTTTGTACTGTAAAAAAGACTGATACAGTCGGCTACACCCGCTACGCTTCTCTGTCTGGTTTGCTTTCCTCGCCTTATGAGAAATGAGTAGAAAGACTTAGCAGAAAAAAAAATCGTTGTGTGTATTTTGACTCACCCTACGGGCTCGTCAAAATACGACACAAGTCATGAAAATTCTCAGCAATACTACACACCAAAACGTCTAATAATGATGCTAAAGATGAGGACAATATTAGGAAAAAGAAAATCATATGTTTACATGTTCGTGATATTGGGTCAAGCACCATTCATTACCCTTCAACAATCCATTAGAGTAACTGCTTGAGAATCGTGAAGTCAGAAGAAAGAATGGGTTATGAAAAATGCAGCGGAAGTAAAACAACATGTTTGATGGGCCATGTCTTGTCTCCAGCAGTAAGAAACGTACCTTGGCCAAGGTGGATCGAACACAACAAATTCGCTATGTTACGAAATTTATCTTTGTCAGAATTAAACGAGTTCCATCTGCACCAATGTCGAAACAAAAAGTTATACAGGAAACTAGCACCAATGGCTTTTCCACAAAAAGAAAGGTAAAAAAACCTTTGATTTATACTTACATTGTAGTGGTGAGTCGATATCTTCCGTGACATGATTAAACCCGTTTTCATCCTCGCTACTCTCATCACTCGATAAAAGTTGCGCGAGATGTTGGTATTTCTCTTTAAGAACGGTGAAAAAGTGATCAAATGTGTTGTATCCTTTCGATGAAAGAATGTCCAGAAGCTTTTCTGCTTGCCTTCGGGAAGTAAGCTCCTTTCGAATGACCTCAGCGTCCTCAGAGTCTAACACAAACTTGCTCCGCAGGTAAGGAAGCACATCGTCCACTAACAAATCTTCCACAATTTCTCCCCTAAACTTAATCAACAAGTGCCTGTGCTTCTCTAGCATCTTGCCTTGTCTCTTTTAAAACAATCGCTTCTGTTTTGATAAAAATACTCGATGACTCCTCTAAGAGATACACTTCCGGGCATTTTGAGACTTCTCCCACTTGAATGCGCATGCGAATGCAGCTTAAGCGGAAACGAGGGTGCCGTCACGCACAACGGGGGAACGTCACCGCGTCAGATTTTTCGTGGTTGGGGGGAAGGGAGGGGGGGTTAGCATCAGTTCTTGTCAGGTATTACATTTCTCTATTTTATAACGAGTATTACTTCCGAGTCTTGCCGACAACTTGACTTATGATAGTTTACGGTGTAAGCGGGTAGTTGCTACAGGTGGGGGGAAGTGTGGGGCACACTATAAATTTTTAATGTTCCCAGATCAGACCCTGCATTTGTCTTCAAACGTACTGGTTTGACATACTTTTGTTGTGATAATTGGTACAGATCAGGTCAACACAGGTGACCTATAACAGATGGCAAAAAATAAGCCCTCCTGTTAGGCTTTATTTTCATATGAGCCTTGCTTACCAGCGATTTCTTTACCAAGCTCATAATTTATCATCTTTCTTATTTTATTAACCTTATTGCTGTAGAGTCATCCCTCAGGAAATAAAAAGAGACTGTCATTAAGACTGAAATGTTGACACCTCAAGAAAATGTCATATTCTGAGTCTGGCTACAGAGTCTTGAGAAAACATTCCCTCAGACTGTAAACATGTCAGTCCCTGTTACCAACAAGTCCTGTTCAGGAATACCTAACCCAGACAGTCACAACACATGACTGCTGCTGGATTCAAACCCTTGAGGCAAAACACGTTTCATTTCACTGGGGCTTGTTGCCCTGGTGAAATGAAACAATCAATAGCCCTAACCAGCTAGTAAATTGTTGTCAATGTGAAAGCAAGGGTAGTTTTTTTTAACAAGTTTATGCTCAAGGAACAAGGGAGGAGTTGATTGAAGGTGTGACTATGAAGTGGCAAGAGGTAGTACAAATGGTAGGATGTTGTCAAACTCAACAGCATACTATTATTTAACAAAAAGGTTTAGCGTATGTCAGTACTTTGAAAGCTACTAATAACAGCAGTGTATTTGACTCCAGATGTAGACACAGATAACTTTCTAATAGCCTGCACAGCAGGTATAATTTGGGTGTGCAAGTGCTCAGTATTTTCTTGACAAGGAATTGATTTTTAAAAGCACAAAACGGATGGAGAAAGAATGACACTTGTACGTAGGGGGTAGGCAACAGTCAAAATAAAGGAAAGGAGAAGAGCTGGGGCAATAGAAGTCATCATCTTTTACCAGTCCCTCCCCCTACCATGCACCTTAACTCTAAATCAAACAAAGAAACAATCACAAGCTTGTATCACAGGCAGTATTGCAGGTTAACTTATTGAAACTAATCAGCAATTATGTGCAACACACCAAGCCTCAGCCTTTACTTTCCAAATCAAAATATTCGATGTAAATAACACAGCAGGCTGCACTTTCCCCATGATAAACATGAATCTGTATGACAAGACTTACAAATACTCTTATTACAGAGAAAACAACAACATGGCTATTGATATTTGTTTACTTAAATCATAATTATTGTGTTTAAAATAAATCATACGTACCATACAAACAATACAGTCATTATGTGACCATCAACCTTGAAAGCAAAATTATTCAAAGTTCTCTCTTATCAATATTAAGAAGGCAATAAGAACACTACTTAAGCTCTTACTGATGCCAGCCTGTCCATTTTGGTGCCAGTCTTCATCACACTGTAGAATATGCAATGGGAGAGAAGAATAGACATTCTCTCTTCACTGTGAAGTTTATATAGGCTAAGGCCTACACACATTTTGATGGTCCTTACTTGTGATCTATTGGAGGACAGATGTATAGATGACCTCAACATAAACAACACTTTGCTTTTTTATCATATAAAACATATAGACTCATCTTAACAAGGGTCTGCAAAGTAATAAATCACAAAGGATGTCATAAAGCAGTAAGAACATCAACATCTTTCTCAGCTATGTTATGTGTGCTATTTTCTTGTTCTTACCACATTTTGATGTCATCTGTGATCTATTACTGAACAGATGCACAGCAACATGGAGTCTATTTGTTAAATGCAAATACAGCCATTCCTCCTTGCCTCCGACTACACTCTGCCAAATAGAGTGATACAGAACACTCCTGCAATCTTATGACTTACACTGTAAAAAAGACTGCCACATAAATACAGGCAAGCTACAAATGTACAATAATACTGCTCCTATAATTATATCTAATCCAGTAATTTACAGCAATGTCAGTGTTCTCTCTCTAACTGAAAGCCATGGTTAAAAACACTCATTTGATTCATCAAAGAAACTTTAAAACTTTTAAGAAACAGCCAAATGGTTAAAATATTCCACTGAATAAAACTAATGACTTTTTGGATAGTTTTGCCAGAGTAGCATCACAACATTAATTCAGTGCTAAGGATGTTCTCAGTGTACAATTTTAACTACGTAATATAGCAAATATCATAATCCTGCATGATGTCAAGACTTATTCTACTATATAATTAGAGATAATCTGGTCTTTTAGCGGCTTTGCCTGTATCACAATAAACCCTTTGACTTTGATTTCACTATGATTCAAATGTGTTAAAACACCTTGTCATGAAAAATTAATAGTAACAAATAATAAAGACAATCAATGTTTGATCAACACACTTAAACCTACAAGGTTATTAAAGATTCATTAATGATTACCACAGACTAAAATATACAAATATCGCCCTAGATTGTTACGAAAAAGACTGCTGTGACCCATTAAACTACTTCAATCAACCCAAACTATCACAGATTGAGATTTCTTTAAAAAATTGCATGGATATATAACATGAAATGTAATAGAATGCATTTTGCATGCTAAATACACTTGGGTATAACTTGCATGAAATAAAATGATACAGTGGCAACAGAGGTTAATATCCATCTGTCTTGGATAAAATAGTCATCAAACTGCACAAAACCAGGCTTGAATTGTGATGTCTTCCAAACACAGATAATTGTACTTCATAACTCGACACACTATTTTGTTGCTATGCAAAATCTGTTTCCCAAACGTATTTTTGATTTAAAGAATTCTAATTCTCTACTTTTTTTAAACCAAATCAAATTAATTTTCACATTGCCTTGTTGTTCCAAGTTATCACCTAAGTTGAGGCCTTAATTTTTACATAAGCAATAGGCATTGCCTTAATGATAACGAGTCCTTGAACAAGTATATATAGTAATATAGAATCTGCTTTAAGCTGCCTTTCTGCCTTCGCTCACTGCCATTACAATATCAGTTTGAAATGAAATATAATCTTCTCAAACATTTATGTTTTAAACTACTAGATCACCAAATAGCCAGTGCTCTAGCTCTCTGAGTCAGGCTTAATGTGTTCCACAAGTTAATTCACACTTAACAGTCAAAATAACACCATGCTTTGTCTTTCGCCTGCAAAAAAGATTTGAACTCTACCTGACTGAGAGCCAAAAGTTTGAAATAAGATCTCATGTATGTCAATGCACATGTAGAACATAGAATGCCTGATACTCAGAATAGCTACTCAATAAGGCTTCCAATCTGCAAAGTTTCAGATCCATGCTACTGTGAGCAACTCTTTCTTTTCACATGAAATAGTGTTAGAGCTAGGCTCTTGAGAACTTTCAGTCAACTCTGAGTCTCTCTCTCTTTTTTTCTATTTCCCACTATGTTTAACCCCAGATGAAAACGAAATCCCAGTCTACAATAATTATGTTAGTAACTAAAGTACATGCAAAGACTTGACCGTGTTAAGGTGTAGACAAACCACTGTTTATTGTGGAGCTATAACAGCTCAATGTAAATGTTAAATACCATCTCCTATAGGCGTAATCTTGGCCACTTCTGGAGAGACTCCAACAACTTCCTCCACCACCTCTTCTTGAATCATGACCTCTTGGGTAATTTGACCTTGATGTAACGCCTCCTGGAGTATTTCTGCTGGGTTAATTTCTGTAACATTCACCACAGCTTGACATGGTTTTTCTTGGTTAAGTTCTTGTCCAGTTGCAGTCTTTTCCACTATATTTGGATGGCTTTCACCCATAGCAGTAACAACTGATTGTCCATTAGGCTGCCCTGTTCCAGCAGTCCCAGTACCCACAGACACTTTGTACAATGAGTCAGTCATGGTACCTACCGATGACATAACAGCAGACTGGTCGATGCCACCAGCTGATAAATGTTGGCTGTTTTCAGTGTTAGTACCAACTGTTGTTTTTCTTATTTCTTCTGTCTCCACAGCAACAGAAACCCTGGATGGGAAAAACTGACCAGGTATTGCCTGTATGTTAGGAGGGAAGCTATTAATAGGCCTTGCTAGGTTTGTGGCAGTAGCAAATGGCACTCCCATGTTTGGAATTGAACTTCCACTCATGGTATTGAGAAAGGTACTCATATGGGGAATCTTGGCATTTGTGCTTGAAGAAGGAAATGTCGCTTGCATTTCTGGATGGTTCACCACACTAGGTCTCGCATGGCCAGCAGCTTCACTCCCAATGGCCACTGCCCCTGGACTGGAGTCTTGATGAGTCGGTGCTCTGGGCATGACAGCAATCTGATTGGCTTCCACAGTACCTCTCTTGGCTGGAGGCTCCCCTTCCTTGTCTGTTACCCCAGTGGGTGTATTACCTCTTAACTGAGAAGCCAATGCTGATAGCATGGATGACATTGGTGTGCTAGTTGGAGGTAAGTTGCTCAGGTTTGCTAACATTTCTGCAGCAGAAGTGGTTCTTTTCCTTCCTCTTCTTCCCTTTGGTTTTGGAGAGCTTGCATTTTTATTTTTGGGGTCTGTTCCAGCAGGGTCACTTCCATCCCCTGGTTGCACAACAGCCACTGTTTCTGCTGTAACACTGTCTGCTATTGGAACTGATGCCACTGTGGTGCTGATGCCAGGACTAGCAGTTCTTATTGGAGTGGCCACTGCACCTCTAATATCTTGAAAAGCTTGAACTTGAGCAGCAGGTCCAGTCATGGGCATAGGAGCAAGGAATGCAACACCTTGACCAGTTCCTTGGATACCTTG